TATAAAGATATATTTATATATTTATGTTATTTTATAAAAAAAAAAGGTTATAATTGAAAAAAATATTATAATAAATTATTTCATTTCCTTTTTATTATTTATCCAAATAATGGTTGTTATAATTCATTTTTTTTTCTTTTATTAATTTTAACTATCCAAACACGAGGTACATGTACCATTTCCTTTCATTTAAAAGACTTTCCTTTTCTTTCCTTTATTTATATGTATCCAATCATAGCATTAAGTGTTTATGTATAGTGATTGTGAATATAATAAATAGATCAATAATAATGTAATTAATTCATTTAAATTACATAATTAAGTTAAAAATAAAAAAAAACCAATTTAATGTGAAAATCAATTTAATTTAATACAAATACAAATGAAATTATTATTTTATAGTATATATTAAGGGATTTCAAAACTTTGGGTGGCCAAGGTCCACTTATACTAATATGGCGGTCCACCACTGTTTATAAATAGAGTATTGAACTCTTAATTTGAATTATTAAAATTCAAATTATGATAATCTCAAATAAATAAAAATAATGAATCAAATAAAACAAATAAAAAATAAATTACATAGTCAGATAGCAAGAGATGAGAGATAAAATGTCATCTAAGTTCACTTAATGCTAGTTCTCAGTTATGTCAAATCAATTTGGTGTTTTAAGTTTCATTTGAATTTACGGTCAGATTTTTTATGATGAGATTGAAAATAATGGTAGAGGTAAAATTTGTTACTGTGATGGTGAAACTGGTTATTGTGTTAGTAATATTACAATCAGTGATGAAATATGTATTTAAATACAAATGCAGCAGTGAGGATAAGATGAAGGGTAGTGAAAAAAAATAACTACTAAGTAGCCTAAAGTTTGTATAAAATAAAAAATTTCAATTATTTGACATTTTAAAGTTAATGAGTAATTGAAAATTATTAAAAATATTTTTATGTCAAATAATAACTTTGTTAATAAATAATTAAAAATTAATAAAATGTTAGTAATATATAAAATAAATTCTTCTAAAATTAGAATAATATAGTTACACAAATTGAAACTAAATAACATAATATTTAATTATTCATTATTTTTATATGTATTTATATGATAATTTTTTATCAAAATAATAATTATGTCATAAAATAATAATACATTTACTCATCTAAAATGGAAAAAAGACTAAAGGAGCATTTGGTTTGGGAAAAGTAAATTTCTCGCTCAAAATCTTATTTTTTATAATTTGATTTCTTAATTTGATTCACAAAAATATGATTACTAGGGTTTTTAAGATATCTAATAGTGTCCAGAAATGAGAAAGAAGGAGAGAATAAAATACTCTTCTCCCCTTGAAGTTTTTCAAGATTTTGAAAGGAAAGTGAAAATTTTTTCTCATTTATCCTTACTTAATTGTATTTTTAAATTATATAAATAATGTTATTTATTTTAGAAATCATTGTAACTTTTTTAAAGTATTATGAAAATAAATTTTTTCTTAACATATTTTAAACAAAGATAATATTTTTAACACGATACTATTAAAATCTTCACAAAGTTATGATTAAAAATATGATTTTTGTTTAAAAGATGAAAAAAAAATTTTCATAATTAAACAAAAATGACATTTTTAAAATAAAAAAATGATCTTTGTTAAAAATATGAAAAATTTTTGCTTTTTAAAATTTAATAAAGTTCACGTTTTAAAGATAAAAATATGATTTTTTTTGTAAATATGAAAAAATATATTTCTAAAATTTAATAAAAATGATGTAAATAAGATAGAAAATGCAGTTTTTATTAAAAATACAATGTTTCTAAATGAAAATTGTAGTTTTTGTTGAAAATATGAAAAATATAGTTTTAAAATTTAATAAAAATGACATTTTTAAGATAAAAACATAGTGTTTGTTGAAAAGACTATGTTTTTAATATAAAAATACAGTTTTTATTGAAAATATAAAAAAATATATTTTTTAGAATTCAATAAAAAAGTTTTTTAAATTAAAACTTAATTTTTGTTAAAAAATGACTTTTTTAAGATAAAAAATATAGTTTTATTAAAAATATAAAAATATAAAATATAAAATATTTTTATTTAATATTATTACGTATAAAATCTAAAATACATTTACTTAATATTATCACACATAAAATTTATTTCAAGGACGAAACCCTTGGGATAAGAGTTTACACCCTTTCCAATCCTCAAGTCAAATTTATTGTGAAGGTCGTTATGCATGTTTTCTCTGCGTATGGATAATAATATTATAATAATAACTATAATTATAAAATTATATTTGTTAAAAATATAAAAATATTAATTTTTAACGAAAAAAATATATTATTCAGGTGTTATTTGTTATTTATATATTAATATTATGAATGTCATATATTGTTAAGGATAATATAATAAAAAATTTTATTAGATAATCTTATATTCTTATGAATCAAATACAAAAATTTTACATGTTCTAAATCAATAAAACTAAAAAATCACACATTTTTCTTCTATATCATTTTTTTCTTAAATTTCTTTCTCTTCCAAAATTTTAAAATCTTTGAAGCAACACCTCCTAAATGATATGGGCTTTTTTGGGCTACATTATGGGAAAAGAAAAGAAAGAAAATGGGTTTAATTAAAAGAAAAGGCTGTTGAGAAGATTGCAAGTGTTCACTGGACCTTTAAGGTCCAGTCCAGTCAGAATTTGGGACTTCGTTTCAGAGGAAATAACTCCACCTAGTAATAAGGATTTGATCCAAATAGATAGATCAGCATTGTAGTTGAAAGTGTTAATCGCACTGCACCGGCACCAATTGAGGATCCAAATGGATCTTTTGAAACTTTAAATTAAATTAGCTTTTTCTTATTTCATTTAAATTAAAAAAATTTTCGAGCCACGTTCGAGATCAATTTTTTATTTAAAAACAATATAAATTATTTAAATAAGAGTGTATATGCCTTTAATTAGCTTAAAATATAGTTTTAATTGGGAGACTACTTTTATTAATAGTTATATATGTTTAATTGGTTAATAATTAATGATATTTTTATAATTTTTTGTAATTTTTTCATAACATTTTTTTAATAAAAATTTAGCTCCCTTTAATACCATAATATATAATAATAGATGTAGGTATTTATACATATGTATATATATATATATTTAATTGACTATTGATTATGGATATTTTATAAGTTTTTGCAATATTTCATAAAAATATTTATCATAAAATATTTTATTAAATTATTTTTTATTTTTATAACATATATTTAATAAAAATTATTAATTAATTACAAAAGCAATCTATTAAGAGATTAATTGCTTCACACTTATCAAGCAATTAGCCTCTCTTAGGAGACAATTTTAATACATTGTTATAGATTATAGATAGAAGATACTGTTGATTATTGATTTTTTTGTAATTTTTTCATAGAAACATTTATAAAAAAAATTTATTAATTAAGGTTTTTTGTAATTTTATTCATTTTTTGGTGCACACTGGAGGGTAAACACCTCCGCTACTTCACCATTTCATTCGCCTCATCTTCTTCTCATTTATTAATATTTTCTTTTTATTTTCATGGTTTGGTTGATGGACAATTATGGCGTTGTATAAGCTATGCAGGGCAGCAGACAACAAGCGGCTAGTCCAGTGAAGAAAGTGAAGTGGAAAAATATATCAGGTGCTGCTTGACATACTGTAAGGATAATGCACTTGCCGTTTATTTTTGCCACGTTTTAGGTACTGACACGTATGAGCCGTTTCTTTTTGCCAAGATTCTTTCTGCTTAATGTTTCAAAACTGAAAGGAATAGGCTTCCACACTAATTAAAAAAATTATCAAAGCTTGTATTTTTTATTGTAATTAATTAATTTTTTAATATTTATTTATATTTAATTAAATTTTTATTTAAATGAAAAATTAATATTGTTAATTTTTTATTAATTAAAATAAAATTTATATAACATCAATAAAATAATTAAAAATTTATCATGTCATTTAATTAATATATATGAAAATTAAATACTTTTTTTAAATTTTTTGTATTACTAAAATTCCTATAAAATTTAATTGATTAAATTTTTTAAGTGATTTGATTAGATTATTTTAAAATTAAATTGAATTTTTAAAAAATAAAATTTTAATTTATTGTAATAAAATATTAAAAATTTAAATAATTATTAAATTATAATTGAAAAATATTTTTTTACTCTTTAACTATGTTTCAACTATTGTTTATGTGATATAAAATAAATAAATAAATAAATAATAAAAACCTAAATGATCGCACAGGAAAAGATGACAAAAAATAATACGAATAATAAGATTTTGTGTTTAATATAATAGGAATTCTAAGAACAACAATTTAATATATATTATTATATTGGAACTACTTAATAGTTTATATTTTCGACATTTTTAAACATTTTCCTAAATGGATAAAATTAAGTGGAGACAACTTTATTCCGGAATAAGGTGCGGATGGAATTGGTGGGCGGTGGCGTAGCATCATTTTGCTTTGCAACTTCCAAAATTCCATTCTTCTCTCTCTTTTCTATTTCTTATTATATTATTATTATTAGAAATCATTTATTCAACCCGGAATCTGCCTTCTGTTTCCTTATCAAACTTACTAGTAATTTATTTGTAGGCAATAAAAAATTGCTTTAAAAATTCCACTTAAGCTGTCGCGGCAATTTAAAAAAAAAAAAAAAAGGCAATTTAAAATCTACCGTTGCCTTCAAATGCAGGAGCCAGGAGGTGCCCGTATTTGAAACTAAAATATAAACAAATCAAAATACTCATAAATTATTTCATTAAAAAAATTTAAATTTGACATTCATTATTAAATTGAGTTCTGAACTCAAGCCGGATTTGATTAATTTAAATTCGAAAGATTGAATTTAATTAAGTTTTTATTTTTAATATTTAAGTTCAAATATATATATATATATATATATATATATATACAAATAAATAATAAACACAAATGGCTTAATAATCAGCTTCCAAGTTAGCTTCAACCATTGCACCCCATTCTCTACTGTAGCTCCAAATTTAGCTCCTTGTCTGTTTCCTCATGATCAGTTCCTGATTTATCAGCTTCTTTTCCCAGCTCAAGCTCAGCTTCCAATTCTGTTGCTGCCTCCTTAGTGTCCTGGTTCCTTGCTCTGCCACAGCCGCCATTGCGAGTTCAACACCACTTTCAGCAATTGCATCAGCTCCCATTATCGTCTCAGTACTCAGTCCTGGTTCCTTCAACTTGATATCTCTGCCGTTAATGACATAACGATTCATCACAAAGATTTTATTATTTTAATTTCCCAACGAAAGCAATTGTTAATCAACAAGTCATTTTCACTTTATCATCATATCTCATAGTTTTTTTTTTTTTTTTTGAAGAATTGTAGTTCAGTCTTATTAAGAAATACAGAAATACTATTATGTTATATATAACGAAAACGATAAAAATTCAAATAAAAAAATTTTACACCGTAAAATCAGTTACATCCGAACCGCTTGGGCTATCATTTTCACCCTTATTGAGCCGGTTTTTATAATCGCCGTAAAAAACCGTACTAACAATAAAACTCCAAATTATCACCACCCCGTAAAACCACAACAACCCCATCGATTCCCACCCCATCACCACCGCCCAAATCCCCGACTTAACCAAATCGTCACTGTCCGTTAACTTCTCAAACCGATTGCCAATCCATCCCGAGACTGCTACCAACATGCAAGTAATCCACCACCAACAAACTCTCCGCCCCGCCATTGAATTCGACCCGACCCTAAATGCATCCCATCCGAATTTCTCCTCTAAAGTCGACACTACCATTCCCAAACCCAAGACCCCCATTATGTACACTTCGAAACCCAAACCAATTACCAAAATGGATAGGCTTATCCGAGGGTGGTTTCCAAATGCGGCTGCGAAAAGCTGCGGGAGTTGGACGTAGAGGAGGAAGAGGCCGTAGGAACAGAGGGAGGTGACAACAACCCGCTTCCAAGCGAGTTTGAGGGCGGTGGTGGTGGAGAGGAAGGAAGGGCGGTGGGGAGAGGAGAGGGAGAGGGAGGTGACGTGGACGGTGGATACGAAGGACAGAAGAGAGAGAATGAAGGAAGGAAAGGAAAAGAGGAGTTTGAGACGGAGGAGAGACAGTGATTCTTCACGGGATTCTTTCAAGACGTGACGCGCTTCGAAGCGCGTGTAAGAAAGGACAGCAACGTATTCGAGGTGGAAGATGTGGTGTTTGAGAGGGCGGGAAGCGAAGGAAAGGGAGAAGAGAAGGAAAGCAAGAGGGAGGTTCAAGAAAATGAGGATTGGAAAGAAAATGTGTTTGTTTTGCAAGAAAATTTTGAGGGGATCGTACATGAGTTTAAGGAAGACATAAAATGAAGAAGAAGAAGAAGAAGAGAAGTATTTGGCTGGGGTATGCTGATCATGATTTTGGTCCTCTGTTTCGGACATTTTTTTTTTCTTTTATTCCTTGAATTCTTTATTCTAAGCTTGGATGGAGTATGAAGAGTGTAATTTAGGTAAGTTTGAAGAAGAATGAGGGAAAAAAACGAAAGAAATATAGAAAATATATGGAAGTTTTAGTTAGATTTTACAGAATCGGATTGTTGTAAGCTGGTTTTCCGTAAATAACCCTTTGATGGGAATATTTGTTATGAAAAGCAAGTTTTTTACGCTAAAAAAATGCTGGTTTGATTATCATTAACATCATCGGTAATAAAATACAAAAATAATATAAATTAAAATTTTAATAAAATTATATATAAATTTAATAAAAATAAAATATACATTTTGTTTTTATTATTAATGACATAAATTTATATAAAATATAATATAAATATATATAAATTATTATTTTATATGATATAAATTGTATAATTCGTATTTCTACCTCCTAATTCGATCTCAAAAGCCATCCTTTTGTTCTCTCAAGGAGATGAATGCTTAAACTTTCAAGTAACTTGAAAATATTTAACTCTCATACAGTGACACTGGTTGAAAACTAGGTTAGAATTTTAATTTAATTTAATTAATTAAAATAAGTAGGGTTGTGCCTTAATGGCAGTGCCAGACAAGAATTGTTGGCGCATTACGATGTATTAATGTACACCAAAACACTGAAATGCTTGGTGAATTCTAAAGATTAAATCATAACACAACTACCAATTCATTATTAGTTTACTAATAATAATAAAAAAGAAATAATTTTGAAAAAATTAAATCCGTACATATAAATCGGATCGAACTGAATTTAAATTTAATTTAGATAAAGTATTAATAAGTTTTAAAATTATCTAAGCTCCACCTATTTTTAAAAGAAATTCTTTGAATTTGCACATATTTTAATTTTTTAATAAAAATAAAAAATTTATAATAAATATCAACAATGATAAAATAAATAATCAACAAAATAAAATCTAAAAAATACTTTGTTAATTTAATTTAGTATTTGAATGTACTAGTATATATAAACATAAAGATACTAATGTATACATATATATTACTTATTTATTTATTTTTATGTAATAAAATTAAAAACAAATATATATTACAATTATTCAAATCAAATTTAAACCTTAAATTTCATGCTCAAAACTCTATCCATTTTTCAAACAGAGCTAAAATTTAAGTCCAAACTTATCTATGAGTATAAAATTCATATCTAAACACTTTTAAATTTCAAATAAATTTTCAAGAACTTTCAAGCTTGAAAGGATATCCTGACCCTTGAACAAGTATAGAATGGACCAAAATCAACTGCCGTTCGTATGCTTCAACGGATAAATTTTCTATAGAATTATAAATAGGTGCCAATATGTCCGTATAACACCAAACTCTCAGCTGAGCTCCAAAGTGAATAGCTAGTTTTGGCCTTTTGGGAACACGAAAGGACAAGTACGACAGAAGCTAGCAAACTGGAAATTTCCTTGGAACAGTCATCCAATAAAACATTGGACGGCCTGTTTATGAATTTGGCCTACGTGTATGAATAACAGGATCCATACAAACATAGCAAAACGTTGCCTTACAAGATCCAACGAAATTTCCCCGGCTTGGCGCTAAAAGGATTGATGATGTCTGCTGGTCATGTCTTCTTGTTGGCGATCAGGTCAACAAACGATCGCCCCCAAGTGGATTGGAGGAGTGGATAAAAGGAACAGTAAGAGACTTGGTGGAGTAATGACATTTTGACTCATCAGGCAATTGGTGGCTTCATAAGCCATAGCTGTTGGAACTCCATTATGGAGAGCTTATTGATGGGAATTTATCCATTGGCATTGCCTGCGAAGGCTGAGCAACCAATAGGTAGTTGATAAAGTTAATGGCAGGCTTGAGGATTGAGATGAGTGGACCATTAGGGCTGGCAAAGCTTTCCAACCAGCGATATACAAGCAGCACTGGGGTTGGGGTTTAAGAGTTGATGGGAGGATACAAATGAAACTAATAATAATTCTATTGCTATAGCAGATGTAAACTACTGAATTCTCAAATTGTCAAGAAAGACCTGAAAGCAAAGATGGAATCTCCTCCAGCATAACAATCTATTTCAACAATGATGGGAGAACGGATAAGAATAGATGATGCAAAGTGTTTCTGAGCCCCCAATAACAGAAAAGTCCACTTGATAGTTACATCCGACCCTCTGGGTAGAAGGGAGGCTAATATTAAGCTTGTTTCCTCCTCCTAGAAGTGGAACTATAGTTAGCAGATGAATGAGAAAAAAAGCTCACTGAAAATTTTCTATCCCATTGTGACAATCAGAATCTGATAAGGAAAACGGAGGCTGATTTTAAGCTTGTTTCCATCTGATAGAAGAGTAAATACGTTTTCTAGATGGAAAAATGTCACAGACATTTTATAATGTCATTTGGACCATTAGACGCTGACATTAAGCTCGTTTTCATCTCCTAGAAGGATGAACCACATTGAGGAGAAGGAGAGAACTTCCTAATACTTTAGTATCGCATTAATTATCACCATCCAGTGTCTAACATTATAACTTAGCAACTGCATCATCATCCAAAATCCCCTACAGATTCTTTTTTCCACCCAAAGGCTACCTAGATAAAATACTTCAATCAGGAGGAAAAAAATAACATAAATAAAATATCTTCAAAATCGATAATGACAACAAAACACAGGACTTCTAGTTGAAATCCCCATCCCAGAATTGCACATTTAATCTGAGATCTTTGACTTGGTATGGTCAAAGAACAATAGATGGAAATAACAAGAAGAATCACTTCCACAAACAATGAAAACCTCAACAAGCCCAAAATAGTTCTACTTCTTTGATTACCCTTTTTATCCATCTATGAGATCAACATAATTCAAAGTTCATAATCCAGATCCAACAACCAACTTCCTCATTATAATCAAATAAAAAAAAGGTACCAACAACCTTTTATTTCATAGTTGTATAGAAAAAAATAAATACATAAATGAAAGGCAATTCAATTATCAAAGTTTTCCATTTTCATGGGCGTTGAACAATTAACAGAAAGCACAAATGTGAACCAAAATTGCAGGAATATTCACATTGATTATTGAGAAAAGAAGCTGTACATTTTATTAGAAAAAAGACCAAATTTTCCATAGACTAACGAAATTTTATAACTAATGCAAACAAAACACTTACAAATCTAGCAAACCCTGAAAATCTGTTCTTCTTGTACCAAAACCCCATATGCCATTATCTTCGTTATCCAAGCAAACCCTTGTTCTACAAATTGGACAAGCAGCAACTTTCATTAACCAAGCATCCAAACACTTCCTATGAAACAAGTGACCACACCCAACAAGGTTTCTACACAACTGCCCTCGTCCAAACCCATCTAAGCAAATAACACAAGAGTCAAATTCCAAATGGGTAGGTTTTGTTTCCTGGGAGAATCTGAATTGGGGAAGCATTTTGAGCTGTTTTGGAGAAAAGCCAGATGAGGGATGAGAGTGGCAAACGTCGCCGTGACGCTGGTGGCGAAGAAGAAGAGGAAGGAGGAGGAGGAGGAGAAAAGAGGCTAGAGGGAGGAGAAGGAAGAAGAAGGAGATGAGAAACATCATGATTATGGCTTTCAGGATTAAAGACAGGAACTTTTCCTTCGGTTTTGACGGTGAAGGAGGTGAACCACCGTTGGGGGAGTCGTGGGGATTTAGCGGCATGGCGGAGTTTTTTTTTCTTGGATTGAGTTTGCGGGCGACGATCGGTGGTAAATAAAAGAAAGAAAATTTTTGGAAATTGAGCGCGAGAGATTTCAGATAATTTATAAGGAAAGGAACCGGTTTTCGTTTTTCCTTTAATTTTTCTATATGGGCTTTCCTTGAAAGAATTAAGGAGTGGGCTTTCCAAGGACTGAGATGTGGGTTGCGGAGGTACGATACCCTGAATCTTTTCTTGTTTCTATTTGTAATGTTAATTCTTTAATCACATGACCCTGTTTTGGACGCTTCAAATTTTACAAGTCATGTACTTAAAATGAAATTCAATTAAAATTTTTTAATGAAAATTTGCCATGCTTTTCTCTAGAGGCCCAAGATGATGTTCCTATAATAACCATTCATCTTTGAAGTTTTAGCTGGGACTGATATTTTATTCCCCAACAAGCCCTTGCTTCTTGTTACCCGTGTTCTATTCCGAATAAGGCCCATTGTGGAAGGAGAAGATATTCAAGGGCCAAGCCCTTGCTTGTTGTTACTTTACAGTCAACTTGTATGTGTACTATTTTCTGCCTCTGTATTCTTTAGAAAGTATGGCTTTTGTTCTTCATTTTTTTTTTCTTTCCACAAGTTTCGTTTTTTATGATCATTTCATGTTGAGACAATTTTAGACAATGAAAATTTGACACTGGGGGAGCTTCTTGAAGATATCTCTGCCTTATTGTTTGTTTCAAATAATTAAGCAAATGATGTAAAAAGATTAGTATGAAGTGTATATTGTCAGTAGAGACTAGAGAGGAATCAACTTCTATGTAAATTATAGTTAAATGGTAGCTATTCTTGTCATTGGGAACGTTGGAAAATGAAACAATCACTTATGGAAGAACTGTTTGACAGTGCTAGAAATGGCGTTTTAGCTAGCTTTTTACACCATTTTTTAGTGAAGCTTGGAAGTGTACTTGCTACATGCATCATGGCACCCCTTTTATTTGTCTAGTACTTGCGGGATTTGCCAAAATAACCAAAAGGTTTATTGTTTCTAAAATTAGCATTATCTTAATTATACTTTCTGTCATGTGTATTTCTTTTGTTGGACCTATGCAAATATATCTACGAGTGATTCTTTTCTTATTTGTGCAGGAGTAAGATCCTTGAGATTAAACCATCTGAAAAGATTGCTTCAGGTACAACACAGGTAGTACATAAATTATGAAATATAAAATTCTAATATGTGTGTGTTCTTGTGCACTTTGTATTTCATTTTCCCATTTAATTCTTACTATTTGTTTAGATGAAATGATATAGTTTTGCCTTTTCACAGGATTTACGAATGTTTATTTATTTATTTTTAATCTCATCTACTGTTTCTCTGCTTTCCCTGATGTTTACCTTTTGATTACATTGCATCTCATTTTCCCGATTATATGGCCGTGACTCATTTAAAATTGTTCTTCTTTCAAACATCTCTGCTGTTTACAAGTTTTGCTGGTTTGCTTTTTGCTTCTATTAGTTATATTTAGTTGTCAATAGTTAGATTATATTTGGGCTCTTTAATACCATGATCAATTACAAACTGCTTTTACATGGATGCATATTAATGTTTGGCTTTTCTGGAAGTTGCCATCCCATAAACTGGAATAACAACCATCAATATAAGTTTCAGATAAAGATATGAAATCTAGTCATTATAAAGTATTTATCATGTGAAACCATTGGAAGATGTTTTATGTCCTCTTCTGGTTGAAATTGCTGTTCACAATTCAAGCGTTGCATTCTGGAAAATGTTAGTGTTTGGTAAATTTGTATGCTTTGTGACTACATCTGATGAATGCTATTGTACTTTGGTAAAACATAAATTTGGAAGAATAGAATGATGGATTTGTAGCCATGATAAACTGAAGCATAGATCATGATGTTGGAACATCTTTTTTGATAAAGCCAATAAAATTGAATCTTAAACTTTTGCGTTTCTATGTGCTTATTGTAACATGCTTCATCTTTGATTGGATAAATTAATTTTTTAGGTGCAGTTATAGTCACCGGAAAGCAGAGAAACCAATTGAATCTATCAAGCTCAATAAAGAAATTGAAGGATCTTGCAGTAATAGACTGAAACAATTCGGAATGTCAAGTTGGATATCTCATGGATGTTTGCACAGGTAACGTTTTTTTTGTTATTACATATTATTATTAAAATTCATGAACAATCTTGCAAATATACTATATTTTTTATCAATAAAATGTAGAATTTATTTATTTTATTTTGATATGTTTTAATTTTCATTTAATTACTTCAAAAGAAATTTTAAAATTGGAGAAAAGTAAAACGACATACAAATAAATAATTAATTTCAAACCCAAATATAAACATTTACTGATGAGATTTTTTGTTGGTATACAAACTTTTACTGATGAGATTTTTTGTTGGTATAACACTTTACAAAGGAATTTAATATAAAATTAAAAGATTAATATTTTTAACAATGAAAATTTTTATCATTAATGGTTTTTTTTGGATGGATACATAATTAAATTTTTAAAATCAAAATAAAATTACTTTAATGACAGAAACTTTTGTTGCTAATTAATATTATTGATAAAATTTTAGATTTAATTTAACAAATATTTTAAAGGAAAAAAAGTTTTAGGAACAAAAAATGCAAGAAATTACCCAGGGAAAATTTTCGTTGCTAAAATCATTGTTATTACTGACAAAAATCCCATTACTGGAACCTTTTTAGTGGCTTCAAATTTTTCGATGGATTTTTACTGACGAAAAATTTCATCTATAATGACTATTCTGAAGGAATTGAGAGCATTAGTGACAGAAAAATTTGTAGTGTATATGCAATATTAATATAAGTCAAACTTCAATATGTTAAAAACTGTTTTATTTATACATAAAGATTACATATTATGTTTGTTACTTACGAGTTTTCATAGTTTGATATGTGTGTAGCAAAAAAATTATTCATTCAAAAATCTTTCATTCTATTGCACAAATGTTTCTTCACAATCTTCAAGTAAAAAAAACTCTTTTAACAGATGTAGTAGAAATTGATAATTTTAAAGTTAATTTCACAAGTACACCAATGAATACACAATATTCATCTTTGTCTCAACAAGTTTAATGGATACATCATTGATGCTTTCAAGCTTGTACACTTATCATGAGAATTTAAATCAACAATCTAAGTTTCAAATTAATTGTCAATGAATAAATAGTTCCACAAGAGAAAATTTGATCCGATAAATTGAACAAAACGAATCAACTTTTTATTATCAAAATATACAAAAGAATCACAAGGATTTAAAGAAATCATAAAAAGAAATAGCTCTACGTCACTGATTAAAATAATTGTTGAGCTTTTAAAATTGTATAGCAATTATTGTACAAAACAAATCATCTTGATAATGATGTAAATTTGTCATTCTTTGAGCATTGCATCTAGGTCTTTCATGAGTTACAAATGTATCATCTTTATTTGAGATGATCATTTTATTTTTTTCACAAAATAAAGAAATCTCGTCCCATTCATCATCGCTTATTGTTTGTAGTCATTGCTTAGTTGCTTTAACTAAACTCATTGCATCATTCACAATATCTTGATCTCGCCATTGTGCTACCAACGAAGATTTATTAGTAATCTCTAAGATATTTTTCATCAAACGTAAGGTGAAAGCAAAGATTGTTCCAATTCTAATAATTTCAAGCATATTAATAACAGAGCTAAACATAAAGATCAAATTTATCAAAGACCCATAATGTAAGCCCCATTGTGTGTCTTCGACTCATTGGAGACTTGTGTCTTAATTTAAACCTCTTTATGTAAAAAGTTCACCAACTTATAATGCCTCAACAACTTTATTAAGTTGTCGTTTACGTGAAGTTCCTACGATATTTACTAACATTTGTCATAATGTTGAAGAGACATGATTCTTTGTCACAGTTACAAATGGCAATTAAAGTTGATAAATAAAACAATGAACATAATAACAAATGCATTCACTTTCATGATCAAAGTTTTTAGACCATTGAATTCACCTTACATGTTGCTTGTTTTATCAAAGTCAATTTGTCCATAAATCCTTAAAATACTCAAATTTGATTTAGAGGATAATGCCTTAATGTTATTGTAAGTAACAAGACGGTTGTATCACTGACATGTACTATACCAAGAAAACATTCAACATCATCCATTTTGGATCCACAAGTGCAAAACAATAGTAGCTTATTCTTTAATTGAAACGTCATGAGATTTATCAAATAAAATAAAAAATAAACCATTTTCAAGATCTTTTGTAATAGTATTGATAGTCTTGATTATGATAGCACAAACATGATATTTTTTAATGGCATGCACTATCACTTATGAATTTTTTTATGCATTCTTAAAAAAAAAAAAAAACCATTCATGGTTTCATTGTGATCGGCAAGAAATATAAAAATTCAAGAAAATTTTCTTGATTGTGGGAATTCTTAGTTTAATTTCTAAAATAAAATACTAGAATTTGACATAAAAGAGAGTGAATGCAACCAAATGTCACAATTAAGCGAACTCGATTATCTTTTCATGTTTGATCGGATTGCTTTGTAAAAGCAAATTGAATATGTTGCTTTTGATTTAGCAACTCTTGATAACACTTTTAAGCTTCATTATGAGCATTATTAGGACTATCAACATGAATATCAATTTTTTTTTTCTTTTTTCAATTTGTGAATCTATTTGAAACAAAACAATCACCATTTACTCACTCTCCAATATTTGGTATATAAAGATAACAACATAAACAAAAATCAACATCATTCTCTACATTATATTCCAATCAATTAGAATAATCTTTAAACCATATAGGAATAAAACAACATAGCGCCTTTTTATTTTTCTTTGAGAAATATTATATTCATAAAGTTAGCATGGACCTTTTTGCAAATAAGATCTTTGAACCTTGTCCTTATCATTGGTGTTATAATCCAAAATTTTTTTGTAACCCGAGATCGAAAGAATATCATATAATTTTAATTCACCATAAATTTATTTTGTATGATATTGTGTGCCACTAGTAATGGTTTCAAATAATTTC